ATTTAAAATTAGATGTTTATCATGTATTTGATTGTATTTATCTGCAGTTAGTTACACGAATTCAGATATGGGATGAAATCGGATAGGGATGAAATCTGGTTTAAGAGTTTTAAGAGTTTTTAAGAGTTTTTAAGAGTTTTTAAGAGTTTTAAGAGTTTTTTAGAGTTTTAGTCAAATGTTTTATAATATAGTATAGATTAAGAGGCATGTGAGACCCACCAAAAATAATTTTTAATATTATTTTATGTACTTTTTAAGCGGATCGCCCCCCATGTGCATAGATCACCCCCGAGGGCGATTCATGCGTATATTTTTGCAATTTTGCTAAAAATTGGTTATTCCGTTAATATATCGGGAATATTTTGGTCATTTTGGTGATTTTCCTTTATAATTTGAATATTTTGTGTACCTGTGAAAAAAGATAAGTAAAACAATACCTTACGACAATAATAATTCTCACAATTATTACAATATATAGGTTTCTCATTTGATTATTCCCGTTATCAGGTATCATAGTTATATATTTTTGTATTGTTGAATGATTGTTGTAGTAAATATCATATTTATATATTTATATGAAACATCTTTGTTAATATATATGTTTCATTAAATATACACAACAAAAAAGGACATGTTTCTTTGCTTTGATTAGGGTTTTTAAAAACGACAAATGGATTTTTGATCGTCTAATTCTCGCCGCTGATGAAAATAGGGCATCTTTCATAAACTAGGTGTACGTATTTTTACATGTATTGTGAAACCCGATATGATTAAATACGTGGGTCAATGGATTATTTGACCTAAAAATAAACAAGTCGATTTTGGGAAGTTTGTATCATATAAAAGTTGTTTGACGATTCACATTTCGATCTCATATTTTATTCCGTCGTTTTCTTATGTTTTGGTTTATACTATAAAATCCGTTCCACTAAGTCATAGCTCACCCGTGTTTTGTGTTATGACACTGCAGGTATAGGTGATGAGACTAGGGGCGGGTCAGGGAAGTGATGATCCGTTGATACAACCGAAGACATCGATCCTTTATTTTGTAAATCTTTTGTTATTGTAAATTTAAAGTTTATAACCATTGGTTGTCCAAATTCTTTTTGACGGGTTAATAAGCTTATGTCTGGTTTGTTTTAGTTGCTCAATGTCTGACCCATTATTGATTTGTTTTTATATTTTATATTATGATTCTATACCCCCAGGTCAAAATGTAACACCGTCGACTGTCCTTGGCCACGCGGAACAGGGGGTGTTTATATGTACCAAAAAATAAAATAAAAACATAGAATATGTATCAAATTTTAAAAAGGATAACAAGTAACGAACAACTTATACAACGAATGCAAGTAAAAGGCGTGCAGGTATTGTTTTACGTGGATGATATTCTTCTATGTTCTACTCCCTTTGTTTGACAGTGAGGATCCTTATTTGTCCGATAAGCGTTTATAAGCAAGAGTCATCATCCTTACTTATGTCATCGTGCATTCCCGGCCATCAAAAGGGATTGTTGTAAGAGTCTATCACCCGGTAAGCGCTTACTAGGTAAGAGTCACCACCTTCACTTACTGAGCAAGTCTTTCAATCCTTGCCTTGCTTTGCCTCTTACCGGGTAAGATCTCAGTCCTTGCTATGCTCAGTCGGTAAGGTAAGTGACCTGATAAGTGTTTGGTAGACGTCCCCTTAATTAGGACCTGGATTTACGTTACTTCTAACGATTCTATTCAGGTTATTAACAATGCATTTACTACTCAAGCGATTCTCTCCATTCTTATGAACTGTGCGGAAGTCGATATCGGGTCTGAGTTATCAGCACTGAAAGAATTCACCAAAAATTTCCCTCCCGAGCTTAAAGGGCTCGCGATTAACAACAGTGAAGCCATCCGAACCGCCCACAATAGTTTCGCAAGGCCCGAGCCTTTTGTTCCCGAAGAACAGAAATCCGCCGGAAAATACGACGACGTCTATCATTTCATAAGCTACATACCCGTAGACGGTGTGCTTTACGAGCTTGACGGCTTGAAAGAGGGACCCATTAGCCTGGGCCAATGTTCAGGTGGTCAAGGTGATCTGGACTGGCTCAAGTTGGTGCAGCCTGTGATTCAAGAAAGAATTGAAAGGTATTCACAGAACGAGATACGGTTCAACCTCATGGCCATAATCAAGAACCGGAAAGAGATGTATACGGCTGAGCTCAAAGAACTGCAGCGGAGGAGAGAGCGGCTGCTTCAGCAGCTGTCGACGTTGCAGACGGATGGCGGCAACGTGGAGGCACTGAACAAGTCGCTTTTGGAAGTGAATGCTKGGATCGAGGGGGCGACTGAGAAGATTCTGGTGGAGGAAGAGAAGTTCAAGAAGTGGAGAACGGAAAATATCCGAAGGAAACACAATTACATACCGTTTTTGTTCAATTTCTTGAAGATTTTGGCGGAGAAGAAGCAGTTGAGACCGCTGATCGAAAAGGCGAAGCAGAAAACGAGCAACCCGAGGTAAGTTTCTCGGTTTTCGATATGAATTGTGTTCATGATGTTGGTATTTTGAAAAGGATGTTGTAATTTAGGCAAAACATGTGTTTGGATTGTCATATGGAGGTTGATAATGTTGAATTATATGCTAGTAACTTTTTGATGATTCATTTGTTCGGGAAAAAATTGATTTACCGACAACCCAATCGATTCTGTACGGTTTTCGTCTCCAAGGATACCAATGTGAAGCGACATTTGTTGGCTCACTTGGCGGCCAAGGCTAGCAGGGGCCTCAGGATCGAACCTCGTGACCTGTCTTGTATTTGGGCAAAGTCATCCCGTCTTTTTACCGTATGTTTCTTTCTGTTTACGTGATTATCTGGTGCGGGTTCGTGTGTTGGGATGGGATCGAACGGGTGCCGGTCCTAGGTAGGGTGCAGCAGGTCCAGGCTTTTTGGGCCTGGGCTAGGCAGGCTTTGATTGCGAATATAGGCCCATGAGTCTGAACGCTATGGTTCCCGGTTTATACCAGCATTTCCTTTCGATCTACTAGGGCATACCCCACAATCAATACAGATAACGTTAATACAAATTGTACATGTTCGAAACATATAAATTGTTTCAAAAACTTTATTATGATTAAACTCAAATACTTGATCTACAGTATTTTTGTAGTAAACCGTAGAAATATCAAATTCAAATATATGATTTCCGTTCAACAATTTTTGGTTTTCTGAAAATGTAATCGTAATTAAGTCGATTTATGGTTTTTCTATTTATAAATAAAATGTTTAATTTTATTTTTAATGATTATTTAATTAGTAAGTAATTAAAAGTAGGTAATTACGATTAATTAACATGAAGACAGTTTGGCCGAGTGGTCTAAGGCGCCAGATTTAGGCTCTGGTCCGAAAGGGCGTGGGTTCAAATCCCACAGCTGTCATTATTTTTCCAACAAAATTAAACCATTTTTTTGTGAAGAGTTCAATATTAATTAAGGGAAGTGTTAATGACACTTTTTAATAGGGGTGTAAAATACTTTGAAATTTGAACCATAATTAAAAAACATAAAATATCAAAATCAATTATATAATATAATATATTTTATTATTATTACTTTATATATTAA